CACATTATTCTATTACATTCCAAAAAAAAAAAAAGGCAACTATCAATTGCCACATGTTCGGCTTCAAGGATTATTATCAATCTTGACATTCCACCAACTTGTAAGCTAAGTACTAGGTATGCTTGAACATAGTTGACATGAAAAAATCATTCTAAATGCAATTCAAACCATAAGGGCTTAAACAAAACCCAAAATATTTTCTAAGTTCAAAGTTAAAAAATCAAAGGTGGAGTTGCTTGATTTAAAAATTATGCCTCACCTTCCACCACGAGAAGAAAAAAAAAAGGATGACTATTCAATAACTACTCCAATTAAATGCAGTACTAATTTAATCAAATTATATTACTTGCCTACCTATTTTTTAGAAAAAAAAAAAACTAACAAATTTTTAAAATTTCTTTCAAATTTAAAACACTAGATACACATGTGCAGTAAGAATCCTTAAGATAGATGCCTTCCACAGTTGGTTCTACAACTCCTGCAAACAATACAACCAAACAGTTATTACATGTGATAGAAAGTTCTGGTGCACACAACATAATAAAAAAGTTCCCACACCTAAGTATACTTTAAACTGAAAATAAAAACAACTTTAATAGTTTCAATCATTTCTACAAAACTAACAAATCAACCCTTGCAACTGTAAATTACCCAACACAGTTGAATACCACACTGGAATTGCACAATTTATGTTTTTTGGGGACCTTGAAGATAGATTATTGCAAGCCATGATGATGAGCTTGGTTCAATTAGCAAAAGGAGATCCTATGACTCTTTCACAATCTCTCAAAAGACTTGAAAATCTAAAAAGAGTTTTTCAAGTCTCCATAACAAAACAAACACTTGATAGTAGAATTCTTCATTTTTCATTCATACTGCTTATAAGCCAGATGACATTGAGAAAAAATCTCCACTTCTGATGTTACCTTCAATTCCTGGTGAAGGCTTATCTTCTGAAAAAAAAGCAACAACTGCACAGTTATCCAAAGAAAAAAATCCAAACCGAACCACAACAACAAACACAATAGCTAAAACAAGAATATCAAGAGAACTTGTCAACTTTATCAATACATGCAAACATTCCTTTTGATGTATTTCTTAAAGAATCACCAGCCAAAAAGCAAAAAACCAGGGCGCACTCCCTACCATAATTTTTGACACTCTCAACCAAAACAAAGGAATTGAAAAACTCATTCTTCTTGCCTTAATTTGATCTATCTTTCAGTGACAATGGCAAAGGAAATGATTATTAAAAATTTTTTTTTTTTTTGACAATTGATTATGAAATTCTCCAATAGTTTGGTATATTCCATAAAATTTAAATTCATGAAAATTTCTATAATAATTTGATAAAATTTATGAATTTATTTAAAAGAGAGTTCTTTTTTTTCACTTTTTTTTCTTTTAGGTTGTTTTCTAAAAATAAAATAATAAAAATGAATTTTACAAAATATTAAAAAATAATAAATTGCTTAATTAAAAAATTAGTAAAATAAAATAAAAATAAAAACAAAAATAAAAAAACTTTTAAAAAAGAAAAAAAAAGAAAAAAAAAACCTACGATGGGGTTAGGTTGACTCATGTGCGGAGCACGGATCCTAAGTATTCAGAAATGATGTCGTGTTGGGACACTATAAAAGAGCAAATGTTCGATATTTGCTCAGACAACCCTACTCCTTTCTCTTTCTAGCCTAGATTTTTCTCTACTTCTTTTTAAAAACCTAAGAACAATCCATCGAAAATTGGGCAACTCATCAATTTCTAAAAAATATCGTTGGACTTCCGATGAAAAATTCAAAGTTCACCAAAAAATTCAATGAAAAATTCAAACATTCAACCCAAACCTAGATTTTTAGAAATTTTCCAAAAATTTAAATCTAAACCAGATTTTTTCAAAAATTTCCCAGAAACTTAAACTTAAACCCAGACTTTCAAACTTCAAATCCAAAACTTCAAACCAAGATCCAAAAATTCAAACCCAAAGAAATTCCTCCCAAAAATCCACTGTCAGAAACCTTAAATCCAGAAATATTTTCTCCTAAAAATTAACTCATCTTTTTTCCAAAAATTCACTCATCTTTTCTCCAAAATTTAACTAGTGAATTATTCTGTGATCTTGTGTCCAATTTATAGCCAATCTCAGTATTAACTTTAAGGCCCGAACAGAACCAATTTAAGCTTGAATCATGAGATTGGATTTTGTTCAAATATGTTTTTAGGTTTAGGTTTGACAAGTTGTCTAATTGATTTGATTTTAGAATAAAAGTCCTTTGATTATACAAGTGGATTTCCCTTTGTTTCGATTGATTCCAAATTTGATTTTCTTATTCAATCACATAATAATAATAATAATAATAATAATAATAATAATAATAATAATAATAATACACATTATTTAACTCAGACACAAATGAATGTTTACATTTACAATCAATCTAGATCAATAACTATTACAATATCAAATAAACAAAAATCAATGCAATTCAAGAAATTCAATGAAATTTTACGATAAATAAGATAATCGAAGGAAAAGCATGAAAATCCTTAACTCAAGAAATTTTACTAATGTGAGTTGAAAGCATTTTCTAATGTGTGCCTTCCTTCTTTGATTGGTTTTTTCCCATTTCTTTTCCATAACCTTTTTTTTGGCCTTCTTGAATAGTTGACACAACTCATGTATATATTTTGTATTATACAAAAATTACATATAATAATTTATATGAATATAAAAATATAAAAATTATATTTTTTATTTTATTAAATTCATATATAAATTTTATTAAAAATTTAAATTATATTATTTTTATATATTTTATTATATCACTATTATTTTATATCATTATATTATATTTTAATTGTTGCGTCTAATTTTGGTCGGAGATCCATGGCACCGCATGAATTTCTAGGTTTTCTTTGATTATCCGAAAAAATTATAGTTGAAAAAAAGTGAGATGGCCCACAAATGGGGTCGAAGAAGGTATTAACTTGGCAAGTGTCCATTAATTCTCTTCAATCGTCTCTATTGTCCATAAAAGCGCGTGGAAAACCAAAGCCATTCACTTTCAAACCCGTCGCGAAGTTTCCTTGTTGTTTACCTCGGAATATATTTCAGAACTGACCCCGTTGGCTGCTGTTTGCTTTGTTAGCTCAAGAGGAAACAGTGCTCTTAGCTGAATTTTGTAGTTGGTGCAGATGATACACATTATTATTGAATTATATAATAATATTTTAAAAAAATAATTTTAAAATAAATGTATTTAATTTTTAAAATTTTTAAAATAATTTTATGAAATATTATTTTATAATTCATTAATAATATATAATATTTATATATCAATAACGCAGTAAATATAAACTTATTTTTAATCAATCTTTGTTTTAAAGTTTAATTTGTCCGCAACGTTTGCGTCAAATGCATCATACTTTGTATAATATAAAGTTTAGATAATGTAAACAAGTGAAATTAATTAATACTAAAAAGGCTAAGAATGGTAGAAAAAGAGATCCATATGGATTAATTTGAGAAAAAACCTTGCAATTCTTTCAATTTTTGTCCAAACAAGAAATTTTTGTGAATCACAACCATATATTAATCTTTTCTTTGCTGCTGGCAGTGAAGTCACGTTCAAGAAGAAAAGGAAATTAATTTTTCTAAACAAGAAGAGAATTTTAGGTTTTGTCTTTTTTTTTTTTTCAAACCAGTCTAAATAAATTTGTATATGTTGGACCTAACGAGTTATGAAAAATTGCTTTCACATAATTTTTCAACAGATTCAAAGATATATATATATATATATATTTATTAAAAATAATCTTTTTGTTTCTCTTTTTTTGTCCTTTTTTTTTTTTGGTTATCTCAAAATTATATTTTATGATTTTTTTAATTTTTTGATATTAAAAATCATGAAATTTTAATTATATATATTTTAATTTTAATATTAAATACATTAAAATCAAACCTTTTTTATATTTCATAAAAATTAATATATGTTAAATATTTTAGGACGGAAGGAATATTAATTAGTGTAATATGAATATAAAGATATGAAGAAAATTATGGTAGTCAGGGTAAGCTTTTTTTCCCTTACGATTGGCATGTCCCGCATGCATGAATAATGACTAAATTTATGTTGACCACGATGTATGTCCAAGAAATTCTTCCTTGAAGTGTTTGACAAGTGAAATTGTGGCAGTTGGTCGGCAGTTTCCCTTCATCGTTTTATTCTTACCTTCCCCTTTTCTATTCAATATGTTTTCCAAGGTCCTCCTCTTGATCTTTTTATAAAAATTAAATGTTTATCTTAGTAATCTGTACATTTTCATGTATATCATTACTTACAGTCAAATAATTTCATGTTGAGAGCAATAAAGAACCTCTGTAATAAATGAAAATGCATAATTAATATATATTTTTTGTAATACCTGAAAAAAAAAAATATCGTGTTACATCTTTCGAGATGTTGAAAATTTTTCTTTGTCTCGTGCATTTGATGTTATAAATTAAAAAGGAATGCATGAAATCCGACCAAGTCAGAAGATCATCATCGTCTCAAAAGGTATTATCATCAGTGTTCGGTCTTCACTTTTTGGACTAGTGAAAAAACAGCACAATCTTCTACATTGGAAACCAGATGGTTATTTTGACCAATTCTCTCTCTTTCACATTCATAAATGCAAGAAGAAAAAAAAGGGAAAACATCTTCCTTCAGAATAGCAATAGAAAGGTCCACAAGTTTATAATAATTAATATAGTAACCTTTCGTTTCCAAAGAAAGTACACTCAGATGATGGAAAAAAATTCATCATCATTTTCAAACAACTCGTGTTATGTATTTTCTATTCAAACCACCAGAGGGTTTAATGGGTACAAAGATTTTCAAAAGCGGCTCTCGTTTTCTGTCATATCTTTCTGTTGTGTCTCTTACGTATTTGAAGGTACCATGCATGTTTTAGTAAACTTCATTGATTCTTTTCCAGTCTCCTGAAAATAACACGTCTCAGTCATTTTAAGAACACTGACTATTATTTTTATAAAGAGGGTGTGGAATCTGGCTTTCTAATTTCATCAGGCATTGATTAAGATATTCTTGCTTCTTTCAGGTTCATGCATTTTATTAACTGAGATTTTCCTTCTTTATTGTTATGACATGCAATTTCTGATAGATTCTTGAAATGGTCAAATTTGTTAATTTTATTTGTAGAAGACGCAGAGATGGTTTTGATGACACCCGTCGACTTTGATGAGAGGAAGGGGAAGGATGCATTGAGAACAAGCAGCTTCAAGAAAAGGGATAATACTGATGAATCAGATCATGAGCAAGATAGAATCCTTAATGGAGAGACTATGCGCTTCAAGAAAAATAAACCCGGAAAGCTAAAGCTCCAAATGACTGTTTCAGCACCTGATATCATCAAAAGGAGGATTTCTATCACGATTGCTTCTCCAGAACAAGCAAAATTTCTGTCTTCCAGGCCTGCTAGCGAGCTTCATGCAGCTGCTACTAAGCTGCAAAAGTTTTACAAAAGTTACCGGACTCGAAGAAACCTTGCAGATTGCGCTGTTGTTGTTGAGGAACTCTGGTAATTTGTTCTCTTAACCATCATTTTTTTCTTCCAATAAAATTTCCGGATTAATGTTGCCTGCAAAATTTATTCTTTTGGGTCGTCTAGTTCTTGATCCAAATTCTTTTTTTTTTCTTCAGGTGGAAGGCATTAGAATTTGCAGCTCTGAGGCGGAGCTCTGTATCATTCTTTAACTCTAATAAATCAGAAACAGCTATTTCCCGATGGGCACGAGCTCGGACAAGAGCAGCCAAGGTATGAGTTTTTTTTCCGGAAATGTTTCAGACAAAGTCTTAAATTTGGTGTCACATGTTTCAACATTTAGACCAAATCTAGTTCTCTTTCTCTTAAAGATGGAAATTATCTTGTCAAGAAAAATGTCAATCAAAATCCTTTTTTGACCGGTACAACTTGTATACCAACAATCTCTTGCCGCAAACTAACATTCACTTTCAAATTTGTTGTTAATGATGACAATCGTAGGTTGGGAAAGGCCTGTCAAAGGACGTTAAAGGTCAGCAGTTGGCTTTACGACACTGGCTTGAAGCTGTAAGTCAATGTTCGGAGTATTGCTCACTTCTACTTTGAATAACTAATCCACTAATTCTTCCAATAATGTTCACGAATTTTAATAGCGATTTGACTACTTAAGTTACCACTTCTATTTTCAACCTTTTGATTTTGTTACGCAGATTGATCCACGACATCGTTACGGTCACAACCTACATTTGTACTATGATGTCTGGTTTGAGAATGGGAGTTCTCAACCCTTCTTCTACTGGTAAATGGGAAAAAAATCAGAATAATGATCTTCATTTTTTTTTTTTCTTTTTCGAATTTCCTGAGACAGTTACATTTCCATCAAATTGCAGGTTGGACGTTGGAGAAGGCAAAGAAGTTAATCTTGACAAATGCCCAAGGCCCAATCTACAGCGTGAATGCATCGAATATCTCGGACCGGTAAGGGCAATCGGCACTTATCTACAATGGTAGTCTATTCTAATTGAAGGCAATTGCATGCCAGGCAGCTGTTTCCTTCTATTATTTTTTTGTACTTAAGGTTGCCAGAATACCAATAGTCCACACGACCGTTGGCTTTTTTTTAAGGCAATATGGAACTTTTCTCCTTCATTACTTCAGGAGAATGACACTGATTTGCTTAAAAAGATTTTAGTTAGAAAAAAGTTATTTTTTTCTTTCTTTTTTTTTTCAATATGAAGATCAATCAAGTATTGGATAATTCTGGGGTACTTTCTGGATTCCAAGATAAAGTAAAAGATGAGTCGAAAAGAATGTTATTTTGCAAATTTTAGCTCAGTTAATGATCAGGGAATGAGTTTTCAGTGCTCAGATATATATTATTGCTTGGTTTTGCAGAAAGAAAGGGAAGCGTACGAAGTTATTCTGCAGAGAGGGAAGCTGATTTACAAACAAAGTAAAGCGGCAGTTAACACCATAGAAAGAACCAAGTGGATATTTGTTCTAAGTACATCAAGAATCCTGTACGTTGGGCAGAAGGAGAAGGGTCTCTTTCACCACTCCAGTTTCCTAGCTGGGGGAGCCACCATTGCATCGGGAAGATTGGTTGTTCGTCGTGGAACTCTCGACGTATGTTGCTAGCTTTGTTCTCATTAATTTTTCAACAAAACAATCATGAAAAACATTTTGAATTTTTGTTTTCTTCCTTTTCAGGCTATCTGGGCTTACAGTGGTCATTATCGCCCGACAGAAGAGAATTTCATGGAATTATGCAGTTTCTTGGAGGAACATCATGTCGACTTGACAAATGTTAAGGTAACAATTGGTAGCTGTTCAGCTTCCTTTCATTAACCTGATCAGCCACCATTAATTCAAGACATTTTTGTTAAGATTATTTCTTTTTCCTCTGCAGAAATGTCCGATAGATGATGATATCCCCAGTGAAGTTAAAACTCACAAGGAACTGAAATTACCAGGGTCTGTTAAAGAAACGGCTGAAAATATTTCATGTACAAATACCGACCCAATTCATGCCAAAGAGAATTCCATTGGAAAAGATCATGGCAACGAAGAAAATTGTGAGAGAAACAAGTCAGTTGACAAAACTGTGGCGTATGATTTGGGGAAGGCTGTAAAATACAAGTGGAGTACAGGGGTTGGTCCTCGGATTGGCTGTGTCAGAGACTACCCAGCACAGCTACAATTCAAGGCACTGGAACAGGTTAATTTATCACCAAGGGTCAAGCCAGGACATCCTTCGCTGACATGTGGCTCAATTCCTTCTCCGAGACCAAGTCCCAATGTTCACTTATCTCCTAGGCTTGCCTATCTTGGACTAGTTAGCCCACGGGTCAGGGTTTCGGCTCGTAATTAGTCGTAATTAACCACGACTTTTTTTAAGTCAACCGGCCTTTTGTGTTTTTCAGGAATAACCAAAAATTTATTGTTCTTTCATATACTTATTAGTTTTTCTTTTTTTACCTTGACTGTGTAAGTCTTCTTGTGTTTTAGTTGAAATTTCGTGTAGAATTCCTTTTTTACTCAAGTTTCTTGAGAAATTGTTTGGATTTGTTGGTTTATACAAAGCTTGTGAATTTTACTCATAATTCGAATACTCTAATTTTGGAATAGAGTTGGTCTAAATTTTCCTGTTAATTAACTAGTACAACATTTTTTAATTTCATGGGGGTTACAGTAGAATTATCGTAGAAAAAACCAATGTCTTTCCATTTGGGATTCTATTTCATACTTAGTAAGAAAGACATCTTCAATGAGGGATGTTTCTTGTGTTGAATATGTTGTGTATCATTAGTGAAAGGATATTTGGCGTGGGAGAGATCATGAATTGTGTTGGAGGTTTTGGTTCAGTTGTCAATTGAGGTATATGATTGAAGGGGTAACAACAGAGCTTGAGCTTGGTTTTGGTTTTGGAGGTTGGAAAAGTGGTTGTTTTGTAATTCTTTTGGTTTTCTGGTTCACTGGTTGTTTTCTCTGAATCTATGAATCTATTTTTAAATTGTTTGAAAAGGAAGTTGTTTTAATTGAATTGATATTGGGGTGAAGTTGTCTTGGTTGTGAGGGTGTTGTTGTGGGAGGAGGTTTATATTAAAATGGTGTGAAAAAAGATTTTGAGGGTGAGGTTGAAGGCCGATTGTATGGTTCTAGTAAAGAGGAAGAGTATAAGTTTTGGTCCAGGACGTCATGCATTTCAGTGTTGATGGAGGTGAAGATACTATAACTGAAAGTTGATTATTGTTGTTGTTTCTAACATAATTGATTTTGTTGAAGGTTTTGCAAGTTGAATTTTGAGGCTGATACCATTCTAGGACATATTCTAGGATAGCAGAAGGACTGGTTACCCATATCAAGGTAATACCAAATATAAATAGTTCATAGATCAGACATATAACCAAGGCATTCTAGCTGGTGTTCAAGACTAAGCACCCTTTTGGCATAACATTGAACTGGTGGCCTGATTTTTATAGAGATGCTTTTCACTATGGTAGCCTACTTTAGACCCTTGGTACATTAACTTTTCTTTGGTTGGGTGGATCAATGATCTGTTTGATAATTTTAGAAGGCTTTCTGATGCAAAAGATCTACAACATTGTAGCAATTGTATCATTGCAAATGATGATATAGAAAACTCTCTTTGATTCTAAATCTAACTACTGAAGAAGGAGGAACGAATTACCAAAAGAAAAGAGAGGTTTTAGCCAAAAATATTTTATAAGAAAGGATTTCTTACATAGAAGAACTTTTTAGGGAAGTGATGACTTGTTACTTTTGTAAGAATGAGTTACAAATTTATACAAGAAAAAAGTAAACAAATAGTAAGCAAATAGGACCTATAATAGTGACATTGGACCCATGACTAAATACATAAAGCAATCGACTTGACTTACAGCAACTTTAATAAAATAACTTTAATATAATAAAAGTAAAGATTTCTTTTGTTTTATTAAAGTAGCTTTAAAAAAGTAGGCTTGACTTGAAAATGACTTAAAGTGATATAAAATTGACGCTAAAGTTAATGTTGACAAAAAGCAAAGTTTAATATGTCATCATCTTGTTTTGGAGTCTTTTGGAGGAGTCTGAAAAACATCTTTTAAAAGTATCACACATAATTAAACATAATTGGACTGAAATAGAAAATTTTCTTTTTGTTTCAACACCATAACTGATTGGATCATTCTGAAAAATCTTCATATGGGTCTTGTGAATCTTGCCATTCCATTTATTTGATAACTTCAGGGGGTTTCCAATAAGGGTTTCATTCTATTGGTCTAGCATGATCAAGTTAATATCTTGTTGTTTCAGGAAGGGCTTCTCTCCATTCACCATTAAATTTTGTTTCATAAATCTTTTTATTAATCTTAAGCTGATAATTATATTTTAAAGGGTAGCTTTCTCATGAAACATCATCTTGGAGCTTTGGCCAATTATGTTTGGAAATCTTATGGTTCATATCTCACATATTTATCTTTGAAACTGTTTGTATTCAACAAGGTGATCAAATATGAAATCTGATAATGAATAACTTTGTGAGATATATAAATTGTCACGCAAGGGAAATATTATGGTTAATCTAATAAATAATTACAATATTGTGAAAAATCAAAATGATGTGAGGATCAGGGAAAACTTTATCTTTCATAAGTTTCTATCCATTGAATCCATATGAAAATAGGTCTGAACCCTTAGAAGAAAAACTTAAAGTGTTGGTGACTGAGATCCATCTGTTTTTTTTTTTCTTTTGGGTTGATACTTAACTGATGAAAATAATGGATGAGTCTTTTGAGCTTTTAGAGTGGGAATTCTACACTTATGTAGTAAAGGTGATAAAGGTACCACATGAAACAAATAGTTTCTTTGGAAACCAAAGTGGGTTAGAGAATTTGAAAGGGTGAATGAAAAAATATTCTGCATGTATTTCAAAAATGAAAGTGTCTTCAAATCTTTTGAGTATCTTGGATTGGTATTTAAACAATAGTTGTAAGGCTTTTTGATCAAGGGATTTGGTTACAATTAGTTTTTTTAATTTTTAAGGAAGTTTTTCAATTGGGATGTTGAGAAATCCATCTAATAGATTATTCATTTAAGAAATTCATATCAAGGTGAGGTTTTGTTAAGAAGGAACAAATGGGTTTTTTGAGGATAAGGCTTGGGAGGAAGAAGGTGAAGGTAAGGGATTCATCATGAAATTGACTGAAATAATCTTTAAAGAACTTGATAGAGGTCTAAGAAAAGTTTTGGATAACATGTGTAGGAGAATATTATCCTTTTCTTTTTATATGTGTTGTGGCGAAAGAGTAATTTGAAAACTATTGAGAAAATTTGAGTAACTGTGCATTTGATATATGTTTTTTTATGAAATTATAAGTATCCGGTCAAAAGTTGATATCTAGTTCCACTAAAAGGTGGTAACCTTTTAGTGTACTTTACAGCTAAAATCTTTTTTAATGTAAAGTGATAATGGATTTCGAAATATTTAAATCTATTGCTTTTGTATCCATATATTTGTTTGGTTTCATCTTTTTCTTCAATAAGGATTGCCAACCAAAATTTATTGCTTGTATCTGTATGCAATATCTTTTTTCATCTGAAGAAATCTTTAAAATTGAAATTAACTAAGCTCTTATCTTCAGCATCTATGTTAACTTTGTCTATTTTTGGGACCACTTAGGTGGTTCTTTCTTTAGCATCTGTTTGAAAGGATGAGTTATTTATGCAAGATCTGAGAAAAATTCACTCATGTAATTGACTACATCAAAGAATTATTGTACTTGCTTCTTAGAGAAATTTTCATTAGAAAAATCTTTAAGTGCCTTAGCAATGTTTGATTGAGCTATGTATTATCTATTTTTCAAATACATACCTAAGAAATCAATTTTTGAGATGCCAATAATAATCTTTTTCTTTAAGTGCATTATCTTATACTGTTGAACTTATCCAATAACTGTGTATGAGATGTAACATCTGAAAAGAACAATAAGATATTATTAATGTAAATCGGTGTATTATAAAAAATAAGAGCAAAAATCTATCATTGCTTTTTGAAATAATGAGAGAGAAACTTTTAAATCAAAAGGCATAACTGTCCACTGAAAATAGTATTGAAAGACGTAAAATGCATTTTGTATATGTCCTATGAATGTAAACCTAATTGTCAAAATTTTACTTTGAGATCAAACATTAAATGGCTTATAATTAATCACCAATTTTAATTTTCTATGAATTTATTCTGAACGTTTATTGACATAAAACGCTTTACACACCTATAGTGAGAAGAAATTGATTCAATTAATCCTTGTGCCTGGAGTTACGAACATTTTTAACTTGCTAGCTTTAAATGATTTGGATTCGTTCTTAAGTGACTAGCTTTTATGATGTTTATATTTTTCTATTTTTTAAAGGGAAGGGTAATGAAAAAATCAAGATTTTACCAAAATAAGTGGTTGTATTTTTGGAGAAATTCTGAATGATTTTTTGCATATGAAATTTAAATGAACTTATGTCTAAAATCTGTTTGAATGGTTAAGGTGAAAAGGTTTGGAAGATTTTTTCAAGATCTTAAATAACTTTCAAATTTTATACATTTTTTACTGAGTCTTAAACTTGGTATACTAGTAACCACGTCAAAACCAATAATAAAGTCTTTTTATGGAAGTGATGATCCTAAAATTCCTTAGGTTATTTGACAACTTGGGAATATTTGAAGGGTAACAAAGTTGCTAATAAAGTCTGTAAAGAATACATTCTCATTAGTAATTTTAAAAATTTTTTTTTATTTTTTCAAAAGTTTTTGAAAAAGGTTATGGTTTGAACGGCACCAGTGTCAAAAAAGGCTGTAATTGTTATAGGAAGAGAGCATTTGTAGGTAAAGACCTGTACTAGGGCTAAAAGCATTTTTTGAGGTTGAAGGGTTTGGATTTTTTTAAGTCTTGGACTAACATGTATTTAAAACATTGATCATTTGAATAATCATCTGAGTCTAAGTCTGAGCTATCCTCATCAAATTATTTGATCATATAACAATGATATTTCATTTTGCTCATCATCAAGGAAAAAGACTAATACCATGATATTAACAATATCTTATATCATTTTTACTAATTTTTTGTTAGATTTGAGGTAATTTTTTGTGAAATGTTTCGATTTTTTGTAAAGAAAGCATTTTTTTTTCTTTTGGCTTTGAGTCTTTTTTCTTTCTGCTAAACTTCAATTTTTGGAATCTTATGGGCTTTTTTGTTGTTCTGAACAGCTTTTTGTATTTAGAGAAGTGAGAGTTTCTAGGAGGTATGAATCTCCTGATGTGTTTTTTTTTTTTTTTTGTGACTAAAAAGACATGTAAAGTCCTTGAAAGAGCTTTTG